CTATCATTCTTGCCCTCCAGCGGCAGAATGACTTGCGAAAACAACAGCTACAGATGCAGATGCAGCAGCAGCAGCAGCAGCAGCACCAACAGCTGCAGCACCAACAACAGCAGCAGCCGATGCAGAATGGCTCGAATGGTGTCGCCAACGGTGCTCATCCCCCACGCCCCGCCCAACCACCCCCCGTCCAGACAACGATACCTCCTTCTACTGCGCTCGGCGCGTCTGCCCTGCCCGCCACCTCGAACTCCTCTGCGCCCAACTCAGCTACCGCAGCGCCGGCCCAAAACCAAGGTCCGAGCCAGTTCTCGCAGGCGCAGTTGAACCTCCTTTGGACGCAGATCCGAGCATTCAGGATGCTTGGCAAGAATGCTGGCGTTCCCATCCAGATGCAGAAGGCCATCTTCGAGCACCGCGCACGGCGCCGGGCGTCGCTAAGCAAGCAAGACACCCAGGCGTCGGCTGCCAGCGCCGCTTCGGATGCGCCAGCCCCCGATGGCCCCAGGGCTGGAAAGAACGGAGCCAGTGCTGCCCAGGCTGAGGTCACATCTGTCCCGCAGCCGAAGGCGTTCAAGACGGTCAAGTCGCCCTACGACGGTGGCCTCGTGCGGCCGTCCATCTCGTATACCGATCATGCATGCCGCAAGAACCGTCTCATTATTCCAGGCATCTTCCCCACAGGCATCGATTTTGAGCAATCGAGAGCAGACCGTGAGAAGATTGTGTTCAACCGTATGAGCGCAAGGTACTCGGAGCTGAAGGGCCTTCCCGGCAACCTGGCACATTGGGATGCGTCCCAAGATCATCTCGTGGCTGACGACACAGCGAAGCGGAAAGCCATCATCGAGATGAAGAAACTAGCGCTGTACTCGAAGCAGCGCGCTCTGAGGGACAGGATTGGAAAGCAGATGATGCACTACGATAACCTTGCCATGACCACGAACCGAACCCAGTACCGACGGATGAAGAAGCAGAACGTCCGGGAAGCCCGCATCACGGAGAAGCTCGAGAAGCAGCAGCGCGACGCCCGCGAGAACCGGGAGCGCAAGAAGCACGTCGACTTTCTGCACGCCGTCAACAACCACAGGAACGATGTCCTCAACGCGGGCCAGGCTCAGCGGGGCAAGGTCCAAAAGCTTGGCCGTCTCATGTATGCGCATCATTTCAACATTGAGAAGGAAGAGCAGAAGAGGATCGAAAGGACAGCGAAGCAGCGTCTACAGGCTCTCAAGGCCAACGACGAGGAGGCTTACCTCAAGCTCCTCGACCAGGCCAAGGATACCCGTATCACCCATCTCCTTCGCCAGACCGATGGCTTCCTGCACCAGCTTGCCTCATCCGTCCGTGCCCAACAACGGCAGGCCGCGGAGCGCTATGGCGACAATCTCGAGACTGTTGATGAGAGCGAGGCGGACGACGACGACGGAGAGAGAAGCCACAAGATTGATTACTATGCCGTTGCTCACCGCGTCAAGGAAGAGGTCACCGAGCAGGCCCACATGCTCGTCGGCGGCAGCCTGAAGGAGTACCAGGTAAAGGGCTTGCAGTGGATGATTTCGCTTTACAACAACAACCTCAACGGCATCCTGGCCGATGAAATGGGCCTCGGCAAGACGATCCAGACCATCAGTCTGATCACGTACCTCATTGAGAGGAAGCATCAAAACGGCCCGTACCTGGTCATTGTCCCGCTCAGCACGCTGACCAACTGGAATCTCGAATTCGAAAAATGGGCGCCCTCTGTTTCCAAGGTGGTCTACAAGGGCCCTCCGAATGCCAGGAAGCTGCAGCAAGAGAAGATCCGCCAGGGCAGGTTCCAGGTCTTGCTCACGACGTACGAGTACATCATCAAGGACCGGCCTCTCCTCAGTAAGATCAAGTGGTTCCACATGATCATTGACGAAGGCCACCGCATGAAGAACGCGAACTCCAAGCTGAGCGCCACGATCCAGCAGTACTACAGCACTCGGTTCCGCCTGATTCTCACAGGAACCCCTCTCCAAAACAACCTATCCGAACTGTGGGCCATGCTCAACTTTGTCCTCCCCAACATTTTCAAATCCGCAACCAGCTTCGACGAATGGTTCAACACTCCGTTTGCAAACACGGGTGGGCAGGACAAGATGGAGCTCACGGAAGAAGAGCAGATTCTCGTCATCCGCCGCCTGCATAAGGTGCTGCGGCCGTTCTTGCTGCGTCGTCTCAAGAAGGATGTCGAGAAGGATCTCCCGGACAAGACGGAGAAGGTCATCAAGTGCAAGTTCTCGGCCCTGCAAGCCCGTCTGTACAAACAGATGGTCACGCACCAAAAGATCCTCGTCAGCGACGGCAAGGGGGGCAAGACCGGAGCTCGCGGACTGAGCAACATGATCATGCAGCTCCGCAAGCTCTGCAACCATCCGTTTGTCTTTGGCGAGGTCGAGAATCAGATGAACCCGACCAACACCAGCAACGATCTGCTCTGGAGAACGGCGGGCAAATTCGAGCTCCTGGACAGGGTTCTTCCCAAGTACAAGGCGACGGGCCATCGCGTGTTGATGTTCTTCCAGATGACGGCCATCATGGACATCATGGAAGACTTCCTCCGGTTCCGCGGCATCTCGTACCTCCGGCTCGACGGCACCACCAAGTCGGAAGATCGGTCCGATCTGCTCCGAGACTTCAATCACCCGGATTCCCCCTACTTCATGTTCCTCCTGTCGACCCGTGCCGGTGGTCTGGGGTTGAACCTGCAGACAGCCGACACGGTCATCATTTATGACTCGGACTGGAATCCCCACCAGGATCTGCAGGCCCAGGATCGTGCCCATCGTATCGGGCAGAAGAACGAAGTGCGGATTCTCCGACTGATCAGCTCCGCCTCGGTCGAAGAGAAGATTCTTGAGCGCGCCAGGTTCAAGCTTGACATGGACGGCAAGATCATCCAGGCCGGTCGGTTCGACAACAAGTCGTCAGAAACAGATCGCGATGCCATGCTCAGGACCCTTCTCGAGACAGCCGACATGGCAGAGACTGGTGACCAAGAAGAGATGGACGATGAAGAGCTCAACATGATTCTTGCACGGAGCGAAGACGAGCTCACAGTCTTCCAGAAGCTCGACGAGGAGCGAATCCGCGACCCCATCTACGGCACACTTCCTGGCTGCAAACGCATCCCGCGCCTCATGGCCGATAGTGAACTGCCGGATATCTATATGCAAGAAGGCAACATCGTGGAGGAGGAGGAGGAGGTCGTCCTCGGCCGCGGAGCCCGGGAGCGCAACAAAGTTAAGTACGACGATGGGCTTACAGAGGAGCAATGGCTCTTGGCTGTGGACGACGACGACGACTCGCCCGAGGCGGCAGCAGCGCGGAAGGCGGCTCGCAAGGACAGGCGCGAGACGAACAAGCTGAAGAAGATCGCCATTCTCAACGCGTCCTCGCAGAATTCGCCCTCTGCCAGCCGCGCTAGTACCGAGGATGTCGAGACTCCCAAGAAGCGGGGCCGCAAGCCCGGCAGCAAGAACGTCGAGAAGCGCAAGGCGGACGACGGCGACGACGAGCCGCCTGCTAAGAAGCGCCGTGGACCGCAGGGACGCCCGAAGGCGGTTAGCATGAACGGTCCCGACAGCCGCATGCCACCAGAGACGCGCGAAAGGCTGCAGAAGAGCCTGCGGCGCGTCTTTGACGCGCTGATGAACCTCGAGGTCGATGACGACGAGCCGGAAGCCGACGGCGAGAAGGACGATTCCGACGGCCCGCCCAAGCGCCTGATCATCGGGCCCTTTGTCAAGCTGCCGCCCAAGCGCGACTGGCACGACTACTACGTCATCATCACCAACCCGATCTGCATGAACGACATCTCCAAGAAGATCAAGGCCAAGGACTACCACAGCCTGGGCGAGATGCGCCGGGACATGGACCTGCTGGTCAAGAACTGCCGGACCTTCAACGAAGAAAGCAGCGGCATCTGCCAGGACGCCAACACCATCGAGGTAAGCCCCCATTCTCCCGCCCGCCCGCCGGTACGTACGTAACCAACCAAACTAACAACACACCCAAGTCCTTCTTCCGCGCCCGGTTCGACCGCGAACTAGCAGAGAACCCGGACCTCCGCGCGCTCGACGACCCGCCGGCGTCCTTCTCCGCCTCGTCCTCGTCGGTCGCGGGGTCCGTCCGCGACGGGGCTGCGGCGCTGTCGTCGTCCTCGATGGCGGCTGCGTCGGATGCCACCATGGCGTCGTTTCCGTCGGCCACCATGACGCAGCCGACCAGGATCCGGCTGGTGTCGAATATGGGGGCGGCCGGTGCGTATCCGGGGGCCGGGATGGGGATGGGGATGGGCATGGGGATGGGCATGGGCGGGAGGGAGAGTAGCGGGGGACTGCTGGCGAATGGGGAGGAGGAGGGGAGTAGTGGGAGTGATGAGGATTGAGGGGGGGGGGGGTTATCACTTTGCGTGATGTTGTTGAAGTGTTTTGCTTGGGTGGGGTGGGTTGGGTGATTGGGGAAGGGGGGGGGGGGGGGGATGGGATGGGTACAAATATGGCATGGCGTTTATTTTACGTGCTTGCTTGCTTGCTTGTTCTGCGGCGTGTTTACCGCGCCGCGGCGGTGGTGGTGCCTGGTCTGCCGGGTGGTTCGTGTCGTGATGGACTGTGCGAGTATCACACCTTGGAATGGTATCCCTATACATTTTGATGGGCAGCGGCTATTCCTGAGCGGTTGCCTTGATGGATAGGATGAGGTTGGCTTGAGGAATGAAAGAATGGGAATGATCATGGTACAACATTGGCTTGGAGGGGGTTGCTGGTCTCTCGCGTTGAGGTTGTTTCAATGTTGAAAGGGGTTGGAGAACGGACGGTGGGTTGTTTGACGAAATAGTATCTAGAAGGCAATTTTACGCATGTTTAACAGTTCGTCATGTGGGTGACGAGCTCTCCTTGCCTGTCCTGGTTTAAAAAAAGGGTTCTGATTGAAAATGCACCCCAAAATGGTTGGGGATGGGAAAAAGGTTAGGCTGCCTAATACTGGAATCGAACCAGTGATCTTTGCATGTCGTCAAGAACCTTTGCAGGTTTGATACAAGTGCAACGCATTACCCCTGTGCTAATCAGGCTTGCTTGCTTGTTGGGCATAGAGGTGGAACTTGGGATGTTGAAGGGCATCGCGAAAGTGTGCCGGCTCCTTGCTTGAAAGGTGCTTCGCATGTGCAGACAAGTGAAGAGACCGTATTAAATGTCGGCACTAAGATAACGTATTGCATGAAATAACAACGCTGCGAGTTGAAATGCGCTGTGCAGCCTGTGCCGCATGTACTAATATCCTGTAACATCTACTTCGTGGGCCTCATTCTGTTCATACTCGTAAACCGTACTCCAGCCATTGCCTGCCAAACACAGCGCCTGTAACCGACGCCGCCGAAAGCCAATATTCTACCGGCCTAGTTGTATCCCAGAAATCCCAGACAGCTGCCCAGACGCCCAAAAAAAAAAAGAAGAAAAAAAAAAGAATAAAAAGAAAGTGCTTATCCCCCATCGCGCGCGGCCAACCTAACCTAGTGGGTAACAAAGGCGTTACTGACGCCCAGCAGCGTCATGCCGAGGAAGGCAAAGAAGATGCTCAGATTCCGGTTGTGGTTCAGGCTCAGGCTCTCGACGAACAGCTGCAGGGCCACGCTGACCATGATGCCGGCGGTCACGGCAAACAGGCAGGCGTAGGCGGTGCTGTCGATGGCGAAGTTGGAGCGGTTCGCGATCCGGAACCAGGCGACGGCCATGGCGGCGCCGAGCGGCTGGCTCAGGCCGCCCAGCAGCGACGACCAGGCGATCGCCTTGAGCCGGCTGCCCAGCGCCATGTAGAGCGGCAGCGCCATGGCGAAGCCCTCGGCGATGTTGTGCACGAACAGGGCCATGAAGATGTTGAGGCCGAGCGACGGGTTGGCGTGGTTGGTGGCGTAGGTGATGAAGCCCTCGGGGAACTTGTGGAGCGCGATGGCGATGACGGTCTGCAGGCCGATGGAGAGGAGGGCGTTGGTCGGGACGTGGTGGTGGTGCTGGGCCTCGGGGTCTTCGTCTAGGGAGTGGGCGTGGGCGTGGGCGTGGGCGTGGGCGTGGGCGTGGGCGTGGGCGTGGGCGTGGGCGTGGGCGTGGGCGTGGGTGTGGTGGGCATGGGGACCGTGTTCGTCGGGTGAGCAGACGCGGCTGATGCGGCAGGGAGGGCTCACGATGGACCCATCGCAGTCCTCTTCATCCTGGCAGGGCGGCGCCGGCACTGAGGCGGCGGCAATACATATGGTCGTGTTTCGGGACAGGGCAGCGCGCGCGGCTAGATGCTTAAAGCACTCCTGATCACAGGGGTCCGAATATCCAAAACAGGGCCCGTCCTGATCGCAGTTGGACTTGGTGTCCTTGAAAAAGGACATGACCCGGCTCCCGACCTGCTTGAGTGACGGCCGTCTCGTGTCTACAGGCGGTCCTTCTCGGGGCCCGTGGATGTGACCGGGAGCACCATTGGTCGGGGTAGCGTCGCCATTGGTTAGCACGGCGTGTATATGACCGTTGGCCGGGGCCCCGGCGGAGAGCAGGGGCGTGGACTCGGTGGCATGGCTGTGCACCTCGACCATATGGGGCTGGCCATCAACCTTCGGCGTAGATTGCTGGTGGTGGGCGTGGTGATGGTCGGCGTGCTCGTTGTCGGGGAGGTCGTCGTGGGTGTGGTCGCAGTCAACGACATGGGAGGGCATGTAGCGGTGCAGGACGCGCGAGATGGCCTGGATGCCAAGGAACCCCCCCACAAAGCAGCCCATCATCAAGAAGCCTGCCGCCTGCGGGTCCCACTTGTCCTTGGCGAGGTAGCGCATGGCTGACGGCAGCATGCTGTACAGGGCGGAGAAGAGCTGGGTGGACGGGGTTAGCGCCGGACTCTCAACGACACGCGGGTCTACACACCATGACGCCGAAGCTCAGGCTGAGGGCGCATGCTTGAAACGCGGTACTCTCCTGGATGCGGAAGCGGTGTTTCCCCGGAATGAGGCGGATCGGGATGTCGATGAGAATGACCGAGGCGCCCACGATGCATGCTGGAGGCGGGTTAGCAGGGCGGGCGGGGAATTGGAGGTTGGTTGCGGCGCGTACCTGTGCCGCTGAAGGCACACATGATCCAGCCTCGTGTGTCATTGTCCATGTCCATGTCCATATCCATGTCCATATCCATATCGTTTGCGTGCGAGGCGGTGGGCCTCGAATGGCTGGATGTCTAAGTCTAAATATTGTGCGGACGCGTTTTCCACTTGTGGCGAGCGTGAGGCCAGGTTTTGTATTTATTCTGTTGTCGAGCTAGGGGCCGCGGCGGTGTTAAGAAAGAAGCGGGCGGGACCCGGTGACAATGGGCGGATGGAATTGACGGGGGCGAGGCAACAAAAAGGTATGTCATCGGGTGAGAACCTCGATGGCCCTGCAGCCTTCGCTGGTGGTGCGTTCCACCCGCCTGCCCGCAGAATGGCCCAACGCTAGCACGGGCTGATACCCTCTCCTACTCGCCAAGTGTTTTCCAGGGCTGACGACTAGCACCTTGATAGCTGCGTCGCTGCGTAATTACTGCAAGAATTGGTGGTCAGACTTCTTAAACAATGATCCTGAACTTTTGTCCAATTGTCTTTTTTTTGCTCTTCCCGTCGGCCCCCCTTCTGGCCTTTCTTTCCCCCGTTCCGTTTCAGAATTGCGCCGGTGCGTATTTGTATGTACAGAGCCCCACCGAAGCATGGTTGGTGCCCGCGGTGCCTTGCAGGGGCGGCTGCGATCAGACACTCGGCAAAATTTCCAGCCAAACACGCCCCCAGCCGAGACACGAACGACCCCGAGCCACCGCCCGCGCCGCCTGACCGAGGCCAACGGCAACACAACTTACGAAGCCACACACATAGCCCAACGGGACGGCAAAACAGTTGGGTCCCGAGATTGGCCAACATGTCGAAAGCTACGATTGCCGTGATCGCGGCCGTGAGCGCAGGCGCGGGTGCTGCTGCCACGGCCGCCGTGTTCTCGATGCGCCCCGACAAGAAACCCGACACCACAGCGACAGCAGTCGCCGCCGTGGCCACGAAGCCCGGGCTCCCGGTCCCCGCGTCCCAGGTCTTCAGCCAGCCCCCCACCATCACCACCACCACGCCCGTCCCGGCCGCCGCCGTCCCCTCCGCCGCCGGCAACCCCCTCGCGCCCGTCAACCCCGCCGGCCTCTTCGAGTACGGCTTCCCGGGCCCCGTCGCCGACGTCGCCGCGCGCACTGCCCTCGTGTCCTCGTACGACCGGCGCACGCGCAACCCGCACTGGGTCGCCGAGCACATCACGCCGGCGTCGCTGGCGCAGCGCGACGGCGACCGCAAGCACAGCGCCTTCGTCGAGGACGGCGCCATCCCGGACAAGTTCCAGGCCAAGCTCAAGGACTACTTCCGCTCGGGCTACGACCGCGGCCACCAGGTGCCCGCCGCCGACTGCAAGTGGAGCCAGCAGGCCATGAACGACACCTTCTTCCTCTCCAACATGTGCCCGCAGGTCGGCGAGGGCTTCAACCGCGACTACTGGGCCCACTTCGAGGACTTCTGCCGCCGCCTGGCCCACAAGTACCCCAGCGTGCGCATCGTCACGGGTCCGCTGTACCTGCCCAAGCGCGACGCCGCCGACAACAAGTGGTACGTCAAGTACGAGGTGATTGGCAACCCGCCCAACGTGGCGGTGCCCACGCACTTTTACAAGGTCATCTTCGCCGAGGAGTCGGCGGGCCCCGGCGGCGGCCCCGGCCCCGGCCCCGTCGCGCTGGGCGCCTTCGTGCTGCCCAATGCCAGGATCCCCAACGACAAGCCGCTGGCCGACTTCGAGGTGCCGCTCGAGGCCGTCGAGCGCGCCAGCGGGCTGGAGTTTGCCACCAAGCTGCCGACGCAGCGCCGCAAGCGGCTGTGTGCCGAGACGAGCTGCTCGATTGTGGTGAAGGAGTATGCCGACAAGCAGAAGGCGTTTGCGAAGAAGTGATGGGGTTTTTACTATTCTTATCGTGTTTGCATGTTCAATACCTGTAATACTACAGCATCTCACGCATGGCCTTGCCCGGAGATTCCTGCATGGTTGGGGTCAGGTCTAGCATAGCGTCTCTTGGAGAGTCGGAGTTCAGCACAAGCGTTCCTTTTGCTTGCTCAACGGGGGGGGGGGAAGCTGCATCAGAGTATAGCAGTTGTAATTAACAGCCGTCTTCGTGGACCACAATACATCGCTTTACATGCGCCCCAACGCCAAGGGGAGGGTGGTATGATGGCTTTCCCCTAACCCCCCCCCACTAAAGGCCACTGGTTTCTGCGGATCGTGTACTTTCCATCTGTGCCGAATCCAGATTATCCCCCCAGCTCCAAGCAAATGGCGATCCACATCCGGCCCATCAACCCATCCCCTCCCTTCCCTT